GTTTAGGACGGAGAGATGTGGTTGGGGGTTACGTTCATGGGAGCCGATACGAGCCGGGACTTTTATCTGCGAGTTGGTTGGGATAGTTAAGAGAAGAGATGAAGTGGAGGAGGAGGATGAGTATGTCTTTGATTCCTCTCGAGTTTACAAGAATTTTAAGTGGAACTACGAACCTGAACTTGTGGGCGAAGACTGTTGGGACCAAGTCGCTGAAGTTTATAAACTTCGGTTGGAAATCTTGGTCAGTTCAAAATGGAGTGGTAATGTTAGCAGGTTTATGAACCACAGCTGCTCAGCCAATGTTATGTGGCAGCCTGTTGAGTTTGAAAAGGCTGGTCAACCTTCGGTTCATATTGCATTTTTTGCAAAGAAGCATATACCTCCACTGACAGAGTTAAGGTATGATTATGGGATGTCTTTTGATACTGGAGAGGTTGATGAAGATGGAAGCAAGATTTTTAGAGGTAAAAGAGTTTGTTTATGTGGCTCAGAAAAGTGTTGTGGTTCCTTTGAATGATGCTGAACATTTTATTGTTATTGTTGCTGTATTCTTTTTTTTCNTTTGCAAAGAAGCATATACCTCCACTGACAGAGTTAAGGTATGATTATGGGATGTCTTTTGATACTGGAGAGGTTGATGAAGATGGAAGCAAGATTTTTAGAGGTAAAAGAGTTTGTTTATGTGGCTCAGAAAAGTGTTGTGGTTCCTTTGAATGATGCTGAACATTTTATTGTTATTGTTGCTGTATTCTTTTTTTTCTTTTATGTTGTTGCTTTGAATAACATTTGGACCCAAAAAATAAATTGTTGTTTTGATTATTTTGGTCTTGTATTTCCTTTTAATCCTTAATAATAAAAATTTATGTGCTTATGTTATTTCATTATCAGTTAGATTTCTATCATAAGAAATCCAATTCATGTTTAAGTTAAACCAATAAATGTATATTTTATGTGTGTTTTCAAGAAAAAACTAGATTTTGAACTATATAACTTAAAAAATATTTTCATTGGTTTAAGGTAGTATAGATTAATCATTGTTAGAAAATGGTGATTTTTGTTATTTACAAAAATAAACTATATGATCTTGAAAGTTAACATCGAAAAATATATAAATAATTAAGTTATGAAGGTATACTTTATAACAATAAATTATATATCTATTTAATTGAAACGTGTGTTTTATTTTACTATTTATAAATTCAATGGATTATCCAATTGTTATTAGCCCACTATAAAAATTTGGGAAGCCCAAAATTATAGGTGATCCATTTTAAAATATCACACATGAGGTGAGTCATGACTTCTCTTTTAATATAATAGATGCAGTTTAAATATTGTGAATATAAGATCTACTTGTTCTGGTTTTTCAGTTAGAGGCTAATTATCATTTCCAGTATTTTATTCATGAAGTTTTGAGATTGAAAGAAAATAAGAAAAATAAGGACAAAAAATAAAATAAAAAATATGGAAAAAATAAAAAAATTTATTTTAAAAAAAAAATAAGTTTAATGAGATTGCACTTTTATCAGAAAATACATTTGCTGTTTTTTTTTTTGAGCCAAGTAAAATTTATATATGTGTTATGATTTTATGTATCTAGTGCTATTTGTTTTCATAAAAAGGAGATTTAATGGTTATTTGGTCTTAGATATGATTTATGATTGACTTCAAAACATTAATAATTATATATACATAAAGTTATAAGACTACTTATTAGTTGATTTTTATATGATAGTTCTTGTATGAAGATAGCCATAGAATTTTTTCTCAAGCTATCAATTAAAAAACAACTCTTCATGTCATGTACTTTTTAAATTATCATTAATCCTTCTCTCTTTTATTTTTTTTTACATTTCCATTTGATGATCTTGTTTACGTATACGTAATTTCTCATATGGATTTACTATTACTTATTCTATCTCATGCTTATTTAATGATTATGAAATTTTGATCATTATTTTTTTTTTTAATGTAGGACTTACTTTTGCAATGGATAAGTTTATTCCAATCGAAGCTACACCACTTAGCTATTTGAGACCGAGCTTTGCCAACAATGAAAACAACCAAACCGAGAACATCTCATCACCAACTTCTCAAGTGTTTGCACCACTTCAAACCGTAGATGATGAGACCCATTACATAACAACACCTCCCTTTCCTCTAGCCTCACCTCTTCAACCCGCTAATGATGAAACCTATAACACACCAACAATACCCTCTCAACTTATAATGCCCATACCGCTTCGTTTCGTTTTACCATCTGATGAATCCAACATTGGTCCAAGCAAAAAAAAACGAGGCCGACCTAAGGGTTCAAGGAATTCAAAGACGTCCAAGAAGAAGAAAGAAACGGGTCATCCCAACAACGAAGTGGTTGTATCTTGTCACAATGATGAAACTCACAACACATCAGTATCCCCTCATCCTCTAGTACTGGACACAAATCATCTAGCTATTGTACCATATGATTACTCCAACAACAACGACTCTTTGGCTGATGATGTTGATCCGAGTAGCCGTCCTCTTAAAAGAGGACCAGGCCGACNTCACAACACATCAGTATCCCCTCATCCTCTAGTACTGGACACAAATCATCTAGCTATTGTACCATATGATTACTCCAACAACAACGACTCTTTGGCTGATGATGTTGATCCGAGTAGCCGTCCTCTTAAAAGAGGACCAGGCCGACCAAAGGGTTCCAAGACCGCAAATCCTCCTATGAACAAGCAGAAAACATATGATTCCGAGGACAGAACCGTAACATCTTGTCCGGGTTTCGACTCGATGATAACCGAATAAGAGAAAGAAAACGGGAATCAAGATCTGGTGGATTCAGTTCTGATGCGGTTTGACGCCATTAGGCATCGGTTACTCCAAGTAAACTGTGCCAAAGCCATCCTTACAACCGCCTTCAGTAGCTTAAACAATCATGGTGTCAGGACTAACAATAAGAAGAGAATCGTCCGGTTCCAGGAGTACAAGTAGGAGATATATTCTACTATTGGGGAGAGATGTGTTTAGTTGGTCTACACAACCATATGGTCGCCGGTATCGACTATCCAACGACAGAAGACGGTTCAACAGAAGGCTTAGCAACAAGTGTAGTAACATCAGGACACTACAACGATAAAACGGAGGACCTTGAAACTTTGATATATACCGGGAAAGGAGGAAAGGATAAGGATATTAAACCTAAACATCAAGAAGAGGAGACGATTCGGAGAAGATGGCAATGACTTTTTTGATGACGTCAGCAACTCAAAGGAAAATAGCTTTTTATCCCTTAGATCATTAAATGGAAACAAACTCAACAGTTAGATTTAGATTTTATTTTCCTATAAAAAAGGGATTACATCATTTTGAGTTTGCTATTATATATAGATAGATGCGGTTTAAATATTCTGAAGATAAGATCTACTTGTTCTGGTTTTTCAGTTAGAGGCTAATTATCATTTCCAGTCTTTTATTCATGAATTTTTGAGATTGAAAGAAAATAAGAAAAATAACGACAAAAATTACAGTCAGAAGCTGATTTGATGCGAAGACAAGACGTTTTTAATTCCACGTTTGATGTGCCGAATGTTAAGCCCATTAAATCTAAGCTAGGCCCATTTTCTTTATAAAATACAAAAATATTTGATTTTCGCATATGTACATTATTTAAATTTTAGAAATTTAACTTTTATATTGTTTTATTATCTTATTTGGTGTATATTTTTATGTTTCATAGAAATGTTACATGGTTTTTGATATATTTTGACTAAATTCGATATAATTTAACTAAATATTATCAAAATATATTTAAATGTTTCAAAAATAAAAGTATTTTTATCCCCTAGCAAAATATTAGCAAAATATATTGAAATGTTTACAAAAATAAAAGTATTTTTTTTAGTAAATATAAACAAACAATATAATGTTAGATTGTACTTATAAAATTTATTATATATATTTAGATTATTAATTTATGATTTTAATGGGTTCATATATTTACATGGTAATTTTAAAAATATTATTATTTTATTAATTATGTCATATTTTACACCGACCCAAATTGGAACTGGTGAAATTTATTAATTTCTAGAAATTATTAATTTATCGAGTATTAATTTATAGAGGATCTATTGTATTTGATAAGGTTTACAACTCTTTGGTTTAACTAAGTGAGGCTATCCCCAACGAGTTGTATAACTCTGTTTCATCAAAGGGCAATCTTTGTATGAGATACAGAGTTGAAAATGTTAATGAATGGTAACCTACTTGTTTGACGCCCAATGCAAGAGCATATAAATAAAAAAAGTATGAAACTAATATAGAACATTATACCTTATAATAAAGCAAACATTAAATAACAGACCCAATAAGACTTACTTAGCTATAGACTATAGTACTACTAGAGAGACTCATTGACAATAATACTAGTGCTATATTATTATTTATGAATTGAGGAACTCAAGAACCAGCCAGTTTCTTGGATTATGTAAGCAAAAGACTATCACAATGATTCACAAAGGTTTGACCAAAGGAATATAAATTCTCATTCACTCCTCCTTCGATCTTAAACAATCTCACCATACGTGTGGCTGTGTCGTAATACAACACCAAAGGAGTTCTTTCTTTGTACACCGCCCACTCCGTTGCGAAAACAAGTGTAAGCTCTCCTGTTGTTCCAATGGTACCTGCGCAACAAAACTTCACATTCCGAACAGCATCTCCCAAACAAGGAATCACAACCGGCTCTTCCCTCCATTTTCTTATTGCATTTTCATCTTTAACATAAATCTCATACACTCTAGTGCCGTCCTCCATCACATCCCTTGAGTCTTTCACTAAGCAAACTTCCCCGTTATAGTTCACCAATCTATCATCAAAGTCCGCAAGTTTTACTCCTTTAGGCATGTCTATAATCGTGAACACCTCAGACCTCATGTCGAAGCTTATTATCATAGATTTATCCATCTCCACAAGGGACTTAGCTCCATAGTATAAAACTCCCTTCAGACATAGTGATTTAGTAACTGGGAATGATTATGCTCACATTTGATCACTCTCCAAGTTTTTTCTTTGATATTCTCGAGCTCGGCTAGCTCAACCGTGAAAACTTGATGTGGCATTAATGGCTTATGCGAATATTTACGTGTAAAACGATAATCAGTTTCCGAGATTAAAAATGTGAATACTTTTGTAACTTCATCGTATCCGAAGAAACAAATTATTTTCGACTCTCTTTCTGGTCGAAGCCTCTTGCATTCCGGTAAAGCCTTAAACTTGTTGGTGGCCGGGTTGCATAGCACAAACTTTGTTTCATATTCAAGACAGACCAAACCTCGTTGGGGTGCACAAAACATTTTATACTCTCGTGCTGAAGAGATAATCATCTGTTTTAGAGCAGACGACAACAACGGTTCCTCTTGTTGATAAACAGACTGAAACAAATAATCTGACTGTTCGGCGAACGTCCGAATGTAGTCGAAGAGCAAGCGAGGTCTTGTAATGGATTGGGCCCAGTAAAGCTTTTTGAATTCTTCTCCACGGATTGTTGATCTCCATTTCTTGCAGACACAGATGCATTGATCAACCAAAGATTCAAGAGGCACACGTACCATAATTTCTTTCAGTATATCTTCAGGAAGTTCTGAGATATCAGTTCTCTCCATTATTTTTCTTTGTGTTTTTCTCTATTAATTGTTATAAGATATCTGTAATGATTCAAGACCAATACACACAAAGTGAAAATTTATAGAAACCTAGATATGGGTTGCAAGACTTTTATTTGATGTTTTAATATCTATAAAATAAAAAAATAATAATTCATTTTATAGTTTTATGATTTTTTGCATATGTTGTGTGAGATTTCTTTAGAAAAAAAAAGAATTCATTTTTCCATAAAAGTTTTGATTAGTATTTACATTTAATAAGTACAGATTTTCTTTGATGTTTAAATTTTACAAAGGACATAAAAATAATAAATTGTTTTATATTTTAGGATTATTTTTGTATTATGTGTGAGATTTATTTCAGAATTTAGAATTTGTTTACCCACATAAATATTAAAAAAATATTTGTATTTTAATAATCATGGCACATAAGTGAATTTTTTTTAACTTTGTACCTAAAGCGAGAGAAAATAATTTTTTTCTATAAATTTTCACTTTGTGTGTTTTGGTCTTGAATCATTACAGATATCTTATAACAATTAATAGAGAAAAATAATAACTCATTTTATAGTTTTATGATTTTTTGCATATGTTGTGTGAGATTTCTTTAGAAATTAAGAATTCATTTTTCCATAAAAGTTTTGATTAGTATTTATATTTAATAAGCACAGATTTTCTTTAATGTCTTAATTTTACAAAGGACATAAAAAATAATAAATTGTTTTATATTTTAGGATTATTTTTCTATATGTGTGAGATTTATTTCGGAATTTAGAATTTGTTTACCCACATAAATATTGAAAATATTTGTATTTTAATAATCATGGCACATAAGTGAATTTTTTTTTTTAACTTTGTACCTAAAGCGAGAGAAAATACTTATACTTAAAAATTTAAACCAAATCCAGTTTGAATTAAGAATTTGACTGAAATAAAAAAATTGAAAATTAAATAAGGTTAATCAATTAAATGACAATATCAAACAATTGTCACTTCTTAATTTTTGATGATAAATCTTAAAATAAAGAAATAAATAAATTATTTTATAACATATTGTAATAAAGTTGAAGAAGACAATCTTAGAGATAATTAAGAAATTTTTCTAATTTCATTTTGAGTATATGATATTTAATACTTGAGAGATTGATTGACAAACAATCCCAATAACTTATTGACAATAACCCTAAGAGCATCCACAACCGTGAGACTCGCTTAAGAAAAAGGGTATTTCGGATTTGGTAAGGATATTTCGAATTTTTTTTTAAAAAAAAAAAGAGAAAAAAAGATGACCATTCGCGGGCTGCCATGTGTTCTGGGGATCCGCAAATAGTGTAAGGATTCACTAAGAAACAATCCTTATTTAGGTATTTTAAGGATCGAATCCTTTACTTTTTGTGGGGTCTACTGATTATTTAATTATTTGTTTCTTAAGGACTCACCCTAAGGACTCCCGTTGCGAATGTTCAAGAGCATCCGCAACCGTGAGACTCATAAGAGTCCTTAAGAAAAAGGGTATTTCGGATTTAGTAAGGATATTTCGGTTTTTTTTTAAGAAAAGATGACCATTCGCGGATTGTCACGTGTCCTGGGGACCCGCAAATAGTGTAAGGATTCGCTAAGAAACAGTCCTTATTTAGGAATTTTAAGGATCAAATCCTTAATTTTTGTGGGGTCTACTGATTATTTAATTATTTTTTTCTTAAGAACTCCCGTTGCGGATGTTCTGAGAGCATCGTATATTACGGATATCTAATTCTTTTTGTTTTGATTTTCTTTGCAAATATACGAACATTCAGTTTTCCGAATATCCATAAAATATATGGGTATTTGTGATATTTATATACATAAAATAAGTTATAACATATGCGTTAATATATAAGATACCTAAACAAATATAAGAAAATACTTGACCGTAATTTTTTAAAATTCTCTATTTAGTCAAAATATTTGTAGAATTTGTTTTCTCAGAGTAATATAACATTAAGAAAGTTTTCCAATGATTATTTTTTTATTATATTAGTGACCATATACATTTATTATTAAAATATCCACCTTTGAGCTCACTCAATGTCCATATTATTAAAATAAGATCGTTACTAACTACAGTTAAACCTCTATAAACTAATAATATTGGGACTTTGAAATTTTATTAGTTTATAGAGATATTAATTTACCAAAGTTTCCTTATTTAGAATTTTGATTTTAAGATATATTTATTCTAAAATAAGAAAAATATTTTGTTTTAGTGTATAGATATTTATTATCATTTTTGAAATTTGACATTTATATTAGATTTCTTATATTATTTGGTGTATATAATATTTATTTCATAAAATTTAAATATGATTTTAGATATAATATTACTAAATCTCATCTACAATATATTAAATGTCAAGAAAATATAAAGATAATTCCATTGTAAATATAAAANAATATTTTGTTTTAGTGTATAGATATTTATTATCATTTTTGAAATTTGACATTTATATTAGATTTCTTATATTATTTGGTGTATATAATATTTATTTCATAAAATTTAAATATGATTTTAGATATAATATTACTAAATCTCATCTACAATATATTAAATGTCAAGAAAATATAAAGATAATTCCATTGTAAATATAAAACAAACAATATACTAATAGGTTTTTACTTATATAAAATATGTATAAATATAAATTATTAATTTATAATTTTAATCGGACCATATATTTATATGGAACTTTCTAAAAAATTATTATCTTATTATTTTATCGATTTGTGTCAAATTTTGAACCGGCCCAAGTTGAGACCGACAAAATTTATTAATTTAGAGAGATTATTAATTTATCGATTATTAATTTATAGAGGTTCTACTGTATTACTCTCATTTTACCTTTTGGAATATTTTTTACTTTGCCACTACTTTTTTAAACTAACTTTTACTCTTCGGTAAAGGTATTTTCATAATTTGTTTTATTGGACCTACATCTCTAACTAAAGGAGCTGGATATATCAGTATTCCTTTTGTTTTTCATAAGAATCCTTATAATGGTGGGTTCCACGATCTTTCACCTACATATATTAACTGATGTATGACGGTTTAGATTTATATGATAAGATGCATCTTTGTTTGCTAAAAAAAGATGCATCTTTTTTTGTTTTGTGTAAAAACTCTCGATAACAATTTCAGAAATGATTTGAAGCATTATATAGGTCATTATTATACAGGTTTAGATTCACCTCCCATGACTTAAATGAAAAGAAATAGCACTGAGTTTAGATCTTGAGCTGAAAATGTTGCGCTAGAATATTAACTCAAGAATTGAAAATGCAGAGCAAACGTAACACCATCTGCCACGTCTTGCTTTGAAAATGTTGCAAATCACTAAAACTAACATTAATTAACTAAAAATAATTACTCTGTTTCGAATTAGTTATCATTCTAAAAAAAAAAATTTATTAAATTTATATGATATTATATTTTTCTATTGGTTGAAAAGTTGTTAGGTGTATATGTAATTGTTATTTTATTTTGAAAATATGTAAAATCAAATATTTCCTTAATATATGTGTAGAAACTTAAAATGACAAATAAAGTAAAACGGAGGAAGTATAGATCATAACCTATATTGTAATTTAATTAATGACTACAATAATATCCGCAACACTTATAATTAATTATTTAAATATTTTTATAAATATAGTGTGTATAAAAATATCTTTCAGCCTACTTAAAAAAGAACAATTAATATAAATCATAAATACAAATTTATATAAACAGTATATATAATTTGAAAAACAAAATTAACATACAAAATTAATATTTTTTCTTATATATAGTTTTATCAACAAAAATATTATTCGTGATGGGTATCTATGACCGATTTTGGTTAGACATACATCAAACAGTTTTCTAGAGAATTTACTACACATATAGAAGTTTATGGTTCAGCAAGGTTCACCTACCGGCTACAAATGGAATTTGTTATTGGCTAAATAAGAAAAGTAAATATTGGAAGGTTATTTTGGACGGAAATGCCACTATATTTAAATTTAATTAAAAAATTGAAATATATATACACGATTTTCCTAATTAATTAAGAATCAATATCTCCTAAAACTACTAAACGCCATTAACTAAACCTAACGTCCCTATAAATGCTTATATCTCAAAATACATATTCACATTGGACAATTCAAGGATTTATTGATTATATTTTTATTTTTGCTAAAGGATTTATTAATTATCTTAAAAACCTAATATCAAATCAAATTAATACATGCTCTAAACGTAAGTTGACATTCTCTATAACTAATATTATGCCTATGATATTCTCAGCCCTCGTTGCTGTTATCATTAATGTACATCTATACGATATGCATAATATAGTCAATATTTAAAATATGAATGTTCTCTTTTTTTTTGGTCAATAATGTTCTCGGTTTAGTATTTATATTAGACATCTATTAAATATACAATTTTTGTTATAGTCATATTTATACAACCTAATCATATTAGAGAAACATCACTAAAAAATGTATGAAAATTTATATAAATATTACTTATTTTGCCACTATATTTTCAAACTAAGTTTTATCCTTCATTAAAGGCATTTTTCTAATTTGTTTTATTGAACCTACATTTTTATTTAAAGGAACAGGATATAACAGTATCCCTTTTATTTTTCATAAGAATCCTAATAATGGTGGGAGCAGTTTCTCTCACTTACACATATTAATATTTTTTTTTTGTAAAATACATATGTTAACCTAGTCTCAAGGTTTAGATTTATATGATCTCCTTTTTGTTTGAAAACTCTCGATAAATTTCATTAATTATTTGAAGCATTTGATAAGTCATTATTATACAGGTTTAGATTCATCTCCCATGAGTTAAATTAAAAGAACTACTGATTTTAGATCTTGAGCTGAAAATGTTACACTAGAGTATTAACTCTTGAGTTGAAAATGCAGAGCAAACTTAAGGCTAGTTTTTATTTTGAAAATATTGCATG